CATTGGGAATTTTGCCTTTGGGAGTTGCACAGCTTTGGTAAACTTGACCATTCCCAACTCAGTGACCCACATTGGGGAACGCACCTTCGACCAATGCAGCTCATTGGCGAACCCGCCTCGCGTCGTTTGGGGTTGCAGCATCGTCTGACCAACCCACGGCACTTCGTCCCGCATGGCACTTCGCCGTTGGCGCAGTGAATCCCCCGCAGCCGAGCTGATGGTGGCGGCAGACATGGCCGCTGGGGTTTGGGAGACATGGCCTGACAGGCCATGTGGGTCTTTCAACTGGGAGACCAACCGAGCTCGTCCTCGGCAGGGGGTCCTTTTTCTCCCTCTAAGGTGATCGGCTTCGCGACACGAAACCAGCCGAGCCCCGGATTCGGTCGATGAGCCATGCGCGAGACAATGGCGACGTGGCGGACATGGACGTGGGCCCAGACGCGAGCCATGGGACTGCTTGGGGGGTCAATGTTTAGGCATATTAGGGCATACCTGGACCCTCCAACAGGTGTTTCCTGGTGGCAACATACACTATCCCCCTTTGGTCCTCAGAACATGAACTCCTTCGAATCCTCGCTCCCTCGCTCCAGCGGGCGCGCGTTTGGAAGTCCGTGAGTTGCATCGACCGAATTACTGAGTCGACGACGACGTCGCTGACTGCGGGGTGTCGCTCATCAACACAAGCGACACATCGACCGAGGGGGTTGGTACATGTTGGTACATGTTGCTCTACCAGCACCGAACCCTGGCCAGGTTGTTTGTTCGACCAACTCCCACAGGTGGTGAACACACCTGGGCACCAGACGAACGGAAAACACAGGAAGCACCTGGACTGAGTCGGGTGCTGGTATGACTCTATGAGTCTCTACCAGAAGTCACTGGTCCCTCGGGATGCCGCATCCGAACCGTTCGGAAGGAGTACTGTTCGGTGCCCGGCTGTCACAGTCACATCCACTGGGCTCTTCAAGACTGAAAGGATCCATTTCCAGGTGGTCTTCACAGTAAACTAGCTGAAATGATCCTGGTTACGTCGATGGAAAGGCACCAATTTTTTGAATGACCGTGAAATCAATCCGAAGACCATGCCAGACGCTCAGTCCCAGCCCTTGCTTCCTCAAAATCGGATTTGAGACCCCTGGAGTCGGCCTTTCTTAGGTTTCTTCTCCTGGAGTTTCAAAACCTTTCTTAGGTTTCTTAGGTTTTTCTTAGGTTTCTGAGGTTTCTTAGAAACCTCCCATGGAAGGCCGGCGTTTCTCCTCCCTCCCCGAGGTGAACGTGCCGCTGTGCGCACCTTGAAGGCGTCCAGTCTCGCGAGCGGGAATTGGAAGCAGAAAAACGGGCTCTAAGAAGGAACCATCCTGTGGAGCACCTGCACCTCCCTAGGGATCCAAGTACCTTCTCAGGTACGGTGATTGGAGGCACTGTTATGTAGGTTTGGAGCACCTGCACCTGAAAGTCTACCGGATTTTTGGTGCCTAGAGCTTTTGCCACTGAAAACACCCCTTCTGAAGGTCTTTCATGTAGTGACACTGCGTGCCATTGGTGCCTAGTATATTGCCTTGCCGCAGATCGTGTTTGCTCTCGCAGATAGCATCATGATCACGTACCCAGACGCTCCATGGGACTGCCATAGGACTGTCGATCAGGCCAGGGGTGGTGCCAGGGGGGCCAATGTGGGCATGGCAGTCCCATGGAGCGTCTGGGGTATACTGTCTGACAGTCACCAACAGAGGTTGAAGAACCCCATAGACAATCCTAGTTCGGTACCCCTGTAGGGTCCTAGTTCAGGTCACTCTCCACCTGTTGGCAACGATGCGAAACCCGGTGCGAAACCTCGCGACACCGCCGTCCGACGCGACGACCGGCGGGACGTCTGGCCTCGAGGTCTCCGAACGGACGCCGGGACGTCTGGCGGTTTCAACACCAAATCCGGGGACTTGAGGGACTCGGAAGTCGGGCCGAACGAGTCGACGGCGGGCCTGCATCGACGGGTGGAGAAGCTCTGGCTGCCATAGATGTAGCTTGGGCCTGCTTATTGGCCGTGAGACGGGTAGCTGGTTCTGGCAGCCTCGTGATGAGGGGGTGAGTTGGGAAGACTCATCGGAGACGCCGATCGGCGCGCCGAGCCGAGCCTGTCATAGGCCTTGGCCAACTGGATCGGTGAAGACGAAGGAGAGCTGGGGTGATCAGCTGGCGTAGCTGTAGCGAAGAGCTGGAGGGAAGGAATCGGTTCGTAGTAGCTGATATAGCAGTTTTTTCCCTGCGAACAACGATAACTACCATATGTACTACCATGATCTACCATGCATGTATATATATAAATATATCCTCCATACATGTGGCTCTATGAAATGAGTATCATTTGCACCTGTGAAATGACCAAACGCACATTCATTTCATAGAGCCCTAAGGGGGAACCATGGAAAAATGTAAGATACGTAATAAGTATACGGGGGACGTGAAGGTAATAACTATGTACCAGCAGCACGGAAGTTATTGGATGGAATATATACCAGCGCCCTCACTGCCAGGTCACCACCAGGTCCACGAAATTAAGTCTCCATTTCAGCCTCCATTCGGAGACCTGGCAGGTCGACCTGGTGGTGATATATATATATATA